GGGGAGGGAGGAGGGAGGAGGTTCCAGGCTTGCTATAGAAGAACCTTTTGTGAGGTAACCTGCTAACCTGCTGTCCTCCGAACCACTTTCTTCCCTTCGTGTGGCTGGAGGCCCCATGATTGAAATCCCTTGTAAGGCCCCAGCACCTCTCAGCACCATTGTACGTGGAACCAGGGTTCAGCATGAGTTTTGGGGTGGACAGAACACACCCAAACTGTTGCAGGTTCCTTGCAGACCAGCAGTGTAGGGCGGGTGCTGACCAGCAGGCTTTGGTGGATGAGGGCATAAAGCGGCAGACTCTCCTCTCACCTCCTCGTCCCCCACAGTGTACTGCTGCTGCTGCCTGGCCAATGTATCGCTGCCTGGCATCGGAGGCACCATCCCGGAGTCCAAGCCCTTCTTCTACGTGAACGTGGCAGACATTGAGAGCCTGGAGGTGGAGGTGTCTTATGTGGCCTGTGAGTATAGGGCCCTCCATTCTCCTGTCCCTGTGTTCAGTCTCTTCTAGACCTGGGCTCCTGTCCTTGTCCCTTGTGGGGTTCAGCTGGCCCTCAGTGACCCCTTAGGATTCCTGCCCCCTTAACCCTGGGTTCCACAGGCACCACAGAGAAGATATTTGAGGAGAAGCAGGAGCTGTACGACGTGTACGTGGATAACCAGAATGTGAAGACTCACCACGACCACCTGCAGCCCCTTCTGAAGATCAACAGTGCTGACAGGGAGAAGTACCGGCGGCTCAACGAGCAGAGGTGGGGGCCACGTGTGGGCATGTCCCAGACTCAGGTGCTCACTCTTCTTGGGCCGCCCTGAGGGTCTCTTTGAAGCCAGTCCTGCTGCTCTTCTCGTGCTGCTTTCCTGTGGTGCACATGCTGCCTGGGAGATAGAAATGAGGGGGCTCCAGGTTCTCTGCATGGGGCCCCAGAGCGGGGAGGTGAATACATGTGTATGATTTCTTTCTGCCAGGCTTTGGAGTCTGGAGTTCAGAGAAGAGGAAGTTATGCCAGCTTCCGGAAACTCCCCAAATGACCTTGTGCAGAGTTGCCTCTAGGTCTCGGGGGTGCACATGTGTGCCCTCACATGTTTGTTTTAACAACTGTCTATTGGGCATCTTCACTGTGTGTGTCACTGCCTTAGAATATATTGCTTCTGCATTATTTTATCTCACGTGATTCTCGATAGTCTGCATGTCCTATGAGGTAACTGATTCCATTGACCTACCCAGTCAGTGGATATTAAGAAAGATCACTTGTCTGAAGTTCCCACGGGCAAAGCTGGCTGTGACCCCAGGGTTTTGAGTCCACCTGTGCCCTTTTATTTCTTTGCTAGCCCCTCTCTACTTGCCTGGCTATGGGGACCTGCCCTGATCAGTGCTGCTTCCTGTAAGGCGCAGCCCATTGCACGGCCAGGCCTGTCTGGGGTCCTGTAGCTGCACCGTATCTGATGGTGATCTCCTTTCCGACAGGCAGATGTTGTTGTACTCCCAGGAAATTGAGGAAGATTACAACCCTTGTGAAGAGGACCTCTTTGTGCTGTGAGTCTTGCCCATTCAGGGGCAGTGGGGCTGAGGATCTCTTCAGCTCCAACTGCTTTGGATGACCCAGGTCCTCCAGTTTCACCTGCTGCAGTTCAGGATGGCCTTTTTTTCTTTTTTATCCCACTGCAGTACCAGGGATTGAACCAGGGTCTTAGCACTAAACTACATCCCCAGCCCTTTTTGACATAGGGTCTTGCTAAGTTGCCCAGAATGGGCTTGAACTTGCCATCCTCCTTGCTCAGCCTCCTAGATTGCTGGATTACTAGTCTGTGCCAGTATTCCCAGCTAGGGATATCCTTTATTGCTGCCAAGAGATGGGCTCCTTGCAGAGGTAACCTGAGTCCTGGAAGGCCAGTAGGTGGGACCCAGAGGAGTCAAGGGAAGAGGTAGGGGCAGGTCATTGAGAGAAAACACGGGCCCAGTGCATGCTCTTGGGCATTGAGGATGTCCACCACGTGGAAGCTGTCTCTGTCCCTCGGGGACATCTCAAAATTGATTCCTCCAAATAGAACAGTTCCTTGCGCTGAGTATTATGGGACAGTCTAAGAAGTTAAATGGAATCACTTGCCCAGATCTGTTGATGGTCAGGGCAGGCCCTGGGCCTTTTTGCCTCACTGATTTCATTCTTAAAAAGCCACACAAAACAGTTCTATATACACACAGAATTGTAACTGAAACAAGCCAGGCACCAACCTTCCTGTTTGGTCTTCCCGGCCTGCGTGTTGGGATAGGTTTGTGACACTTGCACTAGAGACTGTTCCTGGCTTTGGTGAGCACCCCGTGGACATGTCCTGGTTCTCACAGCACCCTACCTCATGTGCACACACAATGTAGATGTGCAGATGTCCAGGAACAGTTCAGAGCCACTGTCTCATTGTGGGTTGAGACACCACGCATCTGAAATTTGGGGCACCCAGAGCCGTTTAAGGGCCTGGGCACTTCTGCCTTTCTCAGGTGCTCTGAGCAGCATGGCTTCAACAGCACGTGCCTATTGTACAGTTCTTTGGACCTGGGACTTTCAGTCTTTGCTCTGTGCACAACACTGCCATCCCCAGAGCCATCACAGAAGGAACACCCAGGGACACAGCAGGCTCTGCCATCTCAGTGGCCATGGCTCCCTTTCTCCTTCACCCTTCTTCTCAGCGCTGCTGGCTTCTGCATTGCCTGTGGTCGCCCCAGTCTGCTGAGCGCCCCCTTCTGTGTAGAGTCAGCCCCGGCTGTGTGAAGTAGGAGCAGGGCACAGTCCCCTGTTCTCTGGGGAGGCTCCTACCGAGCTTTGAGAGAGGTGTTTTGGTTTCCCGCTTGCCCTCAGAACCACATTACCAAGCTCTGTGTTTATAACTGTCTCCTCCCCAATGACTAAGCAGAAGAAGAAAGCAGCGTACAAGGCCCTCTCCTTAAAGCTGTGTTCAAACCACTAGGAAGCTGCTGCTTACAGGAAAACAAGCTGTTTTGGCATCAGACATTGCACTTGGAGGTTTCTCCAGTCAGTTTGTGCTTTATGCCAGATGGCTTCTTTGCTAACCTTAATGTCACTTCAATAACTACCTTTTACCATTTTCTCCTTTTAAAAGATATTTTTATCTTTGAATCCCTTCAAAAGAACATTAAACCAGGCAAAGTGTCACACACCTGTAATCACAGTGCTCTGGGAGGCTGAGGCAGGATGATTTCAAGTTAGAGGCCAGCCCAGGCAATTGTAGTGAAATCCTGTCTCAGATAGATAGGAAGGAAAGAAGGAAAGAAAAAGGAAAAGAAAGCAGGTGATGTAGCTATGAAACAGATACAGATCTCTTGCAAATGGGAAGGGGACCAAGAGACAGAAAGGGGAGCCATAGGAGGGGTAAAAAAAGAACTAAGATATTTTCTGTACATGTACCACAATGAGTGTAATCATTATGTGCTACAAACATGGACTAATAAAGTTTCTTTTATTTTTTTGGTACCAGGGATTGAACTCAGTACCCTGCGCTTGTGAGGCAGGTGGTGGAACCACTGAGCTAAATCCCTGGCACCAATAAAATTTCTTCTCTTTTATTTATTATCATTATTATTATTATTTATTTGTGGGGGGGTTGAGACAGGGTCTCACTATGTAGTTGAGACTGACCTGGAACTCATTATGTAGCTCAGGTTGGTCTCAAACTCACAGTGATCCTCCTGCCTCAGCCTCCCAAGGGCTGGGATTACAGGAGTGTGCCACCACACCTGGCTAAAATTTCTTTTTAAAGGCCCTAGGTTCAATCCCAGTTCTAAAAAAAAAAAAAGAGGATACTAAACAAACCTGTATAGATTGGGTGGCTCTGTGTGGATTATCTGGTGAACTCTGTTTTTTCTTCCCTCCCTTCCCTGTCTTGCACATGTAGGTTTTTCCTAGAGCAAAACAACCGGATATTTCAGACTTTGTTGGAGGTGTCTGCCAGTCAAGATAAAACTCTGACAGCAGAGCACGCCCGTGGGATGGGCCTGGACCCACAGGGGGACCGGAGCTTTCTTATGGACCTGCTGGAGGCCTACGGCATCGATGTCATGCTGGTCATTGACAACCCTTGTTGCCCATAGGAAGGGTGACGTGGGATTGACAGCAGCCTGGAGTGTACCTCCGGCCCCGTCAGCCTGGTTTTTAATTACGCTGACACAAAGGAAGATTGCTTATACTTTCCAACAAATGTGATTTTTGCAGTTTCTTTTCTTCCCTTCTTGTCTAGAGGTTAGGCAAAACAGCCTTGGTTTTACAGCCTACTTTGGTAGCGCATGGGAATCTATATTGTCTTCCACAGCGGCTGATCTTTGGGTTTGGTCTTAGGAGGTCTATCCCTAGGAGTTAGCCAAGCTCTGAAAACTTAGGGGTGGACTGCCAGAAAGCCTGGCTTTGACCCTTGGTGCATTCAGGAATACAACAAACATCTGTCCTGTGTGGCCTTAGATGTTCATCTGCCCAAAGGCAGAAACCCAGATGACCTTTGAAGGTCATCAAGTTCAAGGAGTCAGTAGCCTTGGAATCAAATCCCTCTTCCTATTCATTAGGGCATGTCTGTGTCTTCTCTTTGCACTTGAGAAGGGACCACTGAGAGGGAGAAAAGGACGTTTTTGACACCAAATACGAGCTTCACAAAGGCAGTGACCAGTGACCACTCGATGTGAGTGACATTCTTCCTATGAAACCATTCCACTCGAAAGGGGCTGGTGAATCCTAAGGGCTAGTGCAAGCCCTGTAGCATGTGAGCAAATTCATTTTACAGTTTAATAACCTGGGTATCTGTGGAGGGTGGTGCATGCTTTTAACAGGACTGTGTATGTATGCAGTCCTCACACACTTCTCTGTGGCAGAGGCAACATTCCTGAGGTTAGTAAGTGGGTCCCAACCTAATGGATTTATTAGAAAGTCTGGAAGTGCCTTCCCCTAGGAGAGTGGTCAGGAATCCCAGAGTGTCCACAGTGTTGTTACCTGCTTCCCAGTGAAATGCTTTTTGTCTGGGATGGGTCCTGTAGTCACCTGCCTGGTCTCTTGAGCTGGGTTATTCGATGACTGCAAGATCAGGTCAGAGGGTAGTTGGTAACCATAGTCTGAAAGCCAGATCCCATGAGTAGAGTTTAGGATTTTGACCTAGGACCCTGGATTATTGGTTACAAATCTCTCTTCCCTTTCCTCTTTCCTGCCTGGCTCTTGTTAATTTGAGTAGCCATCAGTGTACCTGTTGATCAGTGTACCCATTGTCTGTGCCCAAGCCAGGCTAATTACACAGCAGAGAGAAGTAACCTTCAACCCATTGGATCACATCTTACATGACTTGTTTCAAATTCTTTTCTTTTCTTTTTTTTTTTTTTTTTTTTTTTGGTACCGGGGATCAAACTTGGGTCCTTGAGCTTGCGAGGCAGGAGCAGAACCACTGAGCTAAATCCCCAGCTCAAATTCTTAATTCAAGAGTATTTGCACTGTGGCTCCTTGGGAGAACAGAATTCAGGAGTGAAGAAATTGATGTGTGTGGAAATGGAGAGAGACACTGATGAAGCAAGGTACACCTCTTATGTAAATATATAAATAATTTTGGGTATTGAAATGTACAGCCAATACACTTCTGTGCAGTGTGGGTTTAGACATTATTCCAGTAACACATTTACTAAAGAAAACCTCGTGTTTAGCAGCTGAAGTTACACTGCTTTTCCCTTTATGGGCAGCTCGCTCTTCTGCCCTCACAAGGCTGAGAAGGGCTTGCTCACTTGGGTCAAGTAATGGATACTTGTAGTGGTGTGTAGGTTCAGGGATTTCTAAGTTGGGGGTGGGTGGCTGAAGACAGGAGTGTGGGTGAAAGGAAGGGACTGATTCTCTTGGGGGACCCAGGCAGACCTTTTCTCCAGAGCCGGGGGATTTGCTAGAAGGACCGTTACCAAGCCCCTCTACCTCAGGGCCTTCTGCATTTGAACACTTGTTTCCTGTGCTATTCTGCTGTAAGTCTGATATAATGACAGCAAGGTTATTAAAGATGTTCCTGGATTTTCTTCAAATGGTTAGTCAGGGTCTATGGGTGCCTTTTAACCATGCAGCTGTCTTTTCACCTCTCTGTGTCCCTCATGCTTATGCCAAGGACTGCAGGGCCTGGGCTCAACTGACCCGGAGCAGAACTTGTCCTTCAGTCCTTTCCTGCCTTGCCAGCTTCCTCACAAGACCAGAAATCTGGTGCAGAGCCTCTGCTTGGGTGAACTACATGTGTTAGCTCTTCACCATCCTATGCCGCTGTTCAGATCCCGAGATGTCTGCCCGGACTGAGAAGTTTCTGGCTTCTGAGGTTGCCCTTTGCAGCCTTGCTTAGTGCCAGGCTGTGCTCTCCTCTACAGAGCCAGCAGGCAAATCCAGCGTCACTTGCTGCCAGTTCCCATAAGGGGTTTGTTTGAGAAGTGTTAGGCAGAAATCCTTCTGCACAACACTAGAAACTAGGAGCCACACTGAGAACACTTTTTGTCACTCTTGAAATATTTGCAGAAAGGCCACTTGCTTTTGTTGGAAATAAGTGGGGGAAACATCCCTGATGGGCCTGTGAGCTCACCAAGGGCAGGCATGATGTTTATCGCTGGGCTGGGAACCAGAAGTGTGGGTCCCAGGTCCCTGTAAGCCTGACGGCCACACTTCAAACCATGTGCTCACCTGAACACTTGCCAACCTGTGGTGCAGGGTCTCCCGCACATCCCTGAGTTAGAGACGACTCCTAGAGGCAAGAATCCGTGTGGGAACTGGCAGCTGGGATTTGTCAGTATCTGTGTTGACTATGACAAAGGCCTGCTAAAGTGGATGTTTTGTTTTTCTTTTTCTTTTTTTGGCACCAGGGATCGGAACCAGAACTTTACACTTGCCAGGCAGGCGTGGTGCCACTGAGCTAAATCCCTGGCCTGATGTTTTCAATTTTGTAAGGCTCAGCAGCTGCTAATACTCAGCCTTTGGGGCAATGGCCAGTTGTTGCCTGGCATAGGACTCTTTCTCCAGGAGTCAAAAATAGTAAGGCTTATCTCCTACCAGTCTGAAAAGTATACACCAGATCATTGCTTAGCATCAGCTTTGGCTTTGAACACGGAGCCTTCCTTATGCCTGGTGTGGACCCATTCCAACGTCTGTGTCCCTCTGGGGCCTGGGAGTCTTCAGTTAATTACAAATGCAGTGAGTTGGAAGCCATCTGCTTTCCATGCCCACCATCCATTCTGGGACCTCTTCTTCCGTCTGGCTAGGAAGGGCAGCGTACTTCATTGCCATATGGACAGAAGTGTTTTAGCCTAGGAATTACATCTGTGACGGCATTAAAAACCAGATGAAAATCAAGATGGGAAATTTAAAAGGAGCACCCAGGTACAGATGGTACCAGATGCTACATGAGGATTCATTTTTCGTGTAACTACCTGTAGCATTTTAGCTAGAAGATAAAAGGTAAATTAACCCATAGGTAAGTCATGTTTATTTGCATGCCAGTGGCCAGGAGGGTAAATTTGCTGTTTGTCTTGATACAGTGGAAGCCCAACACAATAGAAAGTGAAGTTCTTCACTTTTCCACTGAGGCCTTCAGGGAAGTTTTTGTAAAGGGTGATAATGAATTAACCTTTCTGTAGAAGGAATTAACCTCCAAGAAGAGGCAGGGAGGTTAGGAACTGCGTATTTCTCTTTGTACAGCTGAGGGATTGGACCAAGATGCTTTTTCCTGGGCCAGAGGTGGGAGTGGGTGGATGAAAACAGTGACCTTGTCCTTAGAGTGGGAAGAGTTTGAAAATGAGAAGGGGGAGGAATATGGAGACTGAGAATCCCTCCACAGGGTTGGGTGTCCACTAGGTTCCAGGCTGGTGAGCTCAGAATCCCAGATGTCTGGGCTTCCTTTCCCCTCCCTATTCCTCACAGTTACACCCTTGGTGAGAATCCTGAGACCCACAGGCTCACGGAGGCAGGTCCAGTCCCATCCCTTCCCATTTCAGGAAAACCCTTTTCTGATTCAGGTAGGGGGAGGGGAGGAGCAAAGGGCTCCTTTTACTCCCAAGTCATGGACTTTTCATACCCCATTTTTATTGCTAATATACCTCTGTTCCCAGGAGCTACTAGAGCCCCGTGTGGTGGGAAAAGGCTGTGAATTAAGTTTATGTTTTGTTTTGTTTTGTTTTGTTTTTAGAAGAAATGGAAGTTTTATATTTATATCAATATTGCTATGTGATGAACTGAGTGTAGAGATGTTAAAGTTGAAGGAAATTTCATAACTATAATCCTAGAAGAAATGGGCAGTTTTGTAATTTGGTAGTGGCTGAGACCCTTATAAGCTTTGCGATGTAAATGTTTTAGAGTGAATAAGGACATTGAACTGTGTGATCTTTGCAGCACTCTAGGAGATGAACATGACCGTCCCAGTAAAGAGGACACATGGCAAATACCCAGCCTTAAGGAAACGTGTAGGACAGAAGAGGGTACATTATCAGGCTTTCAGTCAACTGGAGAGAGGTGGGAGTCGGAGGTCATCTTATAACTGGCACTTTAATTCATTTTGGGAATTGGAATTTAGAAGCAAGAAAAGCTACAACTGTGGAAAGGAAAGAGGAATTTTCTAGTACTCTGTAGAAACACGAAGATGGGTAGGTAAATCCCTGGTTCCACATTCTGGAATTTCAGTATGAAATGGGCTTTTAGAACTAGTGTGACCTAAATTCAGAAGGTTTAGTTAATACTATCTTAGATAGGTGTGACTTTACTATAAAATGCCTGTGTAGACTAATGAGGCCCTGACCTTGCTAAGGGACCCGAGGTGTGCTAGGGCATTATAAATTGCCAGAGATGCACAAAGTGAAAAATCCACACAGAGGTAACTGAGTTAGCAGGTTGCAAACAGATTTAACAGTGTGAAAACTCCTTTCTTTGGGTTAATCAAACAAAGGTAAAGTGCAAAAAAAAATGAGACGCATTAAAGAATTTGGGTCTGGGATGCCTAGGGTGGCCCCCAATAGGACATGCTCCAGACACTGCTGCTTTCTGAGCAGCTTAGATAAGGACTTCAGGGGCTCAAAGACCCAGTGTGAATTTCCTTTACCCAAAGCTTGTTGACTAAATTTTTGTGTAGATCTGGGATGTAAACCTTTCCCAAAAAAGAAATGTGGTAACCTTAGAAAACCTGTTCTCCCGGTTTTTCCACGTTAGGATCAGTATAGCGTCCCTGTCGCCTTAAATGTAAAAACCCTATTTTGAGTAATACCCCAGACTAAGAATTACAGCAATAAGAGAAACTGAATCTACTTTTGTTTCAAGTTTTTACCTCATGTGATGAAATCAGAAAGATGCTTCCTAAGTTTCATCCTGGACACTACTACAGACAGGTGCATGGTTCTGTTTTCAGTGGTGACATAAAGGCCTGAAAAAAGCTGGGGTTAATCCTGAGACTAAATGTTTCTTGGCCTGATCTTGCTCTGTGATACATTTAATATCTATGTATATCATATCTGTATATATTTGAATCAAGTTGTGTGCAGAGAGGTTGATATATTTACAGAAAACAATTTTTATGATTAAAGTTCACATTTTAACATGAACCTGCGTGCTGTGACCATTGGCCTGGGCCAAGAATGTGGGCTGGGGTAGGAAGGCACAATGGCCAGATCCCAGGGCTGGACACGCCTTCCCGCACAGCAATGACGGAGGCGGCCACAGTGCCATCTGGACACACTCTGCAGGTACCAGAAGCAAAAGTGGAGGATACTACACCACGCAGAAGAGCCAGGGCTGTGTGCCCTCGATCATATCAGGCTACTTTTAGAAAAACCCCTTGTGTTTCACAAAATCTGACCCAGTTTATACAGAGTGCACATAAGTGTGCGTACAGCCTAAACTTTGTTTCCATTTCTGACCTATTGGGGAGTTGATTAAAACAAAGTAGAGCCAACTGCTACCATTTCTGGCTGTCAAACCAAATGGCGGGTGTGCAAAGCCAGGTTCCTGCTCTGAGGTGCGTGACTGTATTTCCTGAGTTGTGAAAACGGATGTGACTGTTCTATGTGTAAAGCACTGACCCTCAGTAATTGTAACTGGAGCAAAGGAAAAAACAAATCATAGCCTTTGAAATTAATTTGCCAAAATGTTTGTACCAAAAAGGAAGGGACGCCCTTTTACTTAGTACAGCTCAGCCCTCAGGTTGGCTGACAAGCTGGCTCTCGTGTGGGCACTAGGTGGAAGGACACAGCGAGAGTCAGTGAGGAAACCAAGTCCCCAAAGGAAGTTTGAGCAAAAGTCAAAACAAGGCATATTTATAAATGAGCAAAATCCTTAATGTGGGTTAAACGTTCTCTGGCCACGCACATCATTTTGGTAATAATCACTGGGAAGAAGGCAGATTCTGTCCTCTTGCCCTCTATGGGAGGCATGGGCTGGGTGATCCTTTACTGATGTTTATAGACTCACCTGTTTTTTTGTTTTTGTTTTTTTTGCTAAAGCAGAGCTTTTAATACCACCTCGAAGCATCCAGTGCTGAAGAGGTAAGCTTATGTTTTGTGGTTTATGCATGGGCTTCTGGTAGCTGCTACATAATGTACTGAAACATTGGTCTTCACTCTGCAGAGGACACTCGGGTTTATGAACCCTGTATTTAAAATGATCTAAGGAGAGCTGGTGGCTAAGATCTACTAGCTCTTCCTCTTCACTCTGCCCTTCACACAGAAAGGTGAGGGTCCAATCTACCCACCCCCCCACCCCCCAATGATGGCAAAGCTCTCCAGAGAACTTCAAAGTAAATGTCAATGGCATTACTGAAAGGAAATGATGTTAGTGTCTGGGTAACAAACCCTTGGTAATGGAAGATCTAATCAAGTTAGTTGAAAATTAACTATTGATGACAATGCTGTGCTTTTGGCCATTTAATTCAAAGAACTATATGACATTGTTAGATGCGTTCTCTTCCCATTTACTTAGTGTTCACAACCAAAAATGATAATCGATGTTGAACCCCCATCTAGATATAAATAACATTTATATATTGAGTAAATGAACTAATTAGGATAAAGAACGTACTAACATGTTTTTAATTATCAAAAAATTAATATTTTCAATTACATCAATTACAACAACATTCAGTACTAAAACTAAAAAATCCATTTATATCTTGTTGACAAGAATAAAAAAATGAAGTGAAAAATAGATTACAGTATAGTAAGAGTCTTGCTGAATGCAGTAGGGGAATATACCCACAGGGAGAAAAAAATTTACGGTGTTTGACTAAAGAAGTTGAGGGGTGGTGTCCAACTGCTGTCGTGTTTACAATGGATCTTTAGAAGAGTGATGTAACAGATTATTTTAAAACCAATATTTACACAACACTAGAAAGTACACACACACACTTTGGCGACTATCTTCCATGAAAGATGTAGACACAGATGTGAGGGGATACGTGATTTTTCACAATACTTTTGGGGAAACACAGGCAGAAGCTACTTTAAAACACTGAAAGAGGAGGAGGCCCTTTTCAGACACCCCTGATGAGAGTTGCAGGCTCCATGGCAAGTGAGTGGTTCGGTGTGGGCCCCTTAGTTTTCGACATGCGTTGCACACAGAGGGTCCTCATGCACACCAACACTGAAAAAGCACTGCTTTAAGACAAAAATAGCATTTGACAATACTTGAGCCATAGTTGAAGAAACAACCTCACATTTGCTGTTGGAGGACATAACTGGAACAAGAGCGAGGTAAGCACCGAACTCAGAGCGGCAGCCAGGACTTAGGAGTCCTGGCAAGGGCAGAGAAACCTGGGGCGGCCCTAGGACATCACAGAGCACAGCAGGGGTGGGAGAGCTAAGGCAGGCCAGGACCCCGCTCTTCACTGTGGAGGCAGCAATGTTCCGGCCTGAGGAAAGTCACCGGGAGGGATGGGCTGTCACGGCAATGACAGCACCACTGGGGGAGGACGGGGTACTTGCCATGAAAATGCCCTTGGGAGCCTCTTCCCTTTTGGTCCCACGGGTGGCCTAAAGTGCAGTCTAGGAAACGCCCTGGCCTCTGTCACTGGGCTGGGCTCGGCAGCAGCTGCTGTCGCTTCCGGGGGTCACAGAAGAACTGCAGCTTCCTGGGAAGCAGCTTCACCTCCACAGGCATCGCCTCATACTCCTCGCTGTCGATGCTGAAGGAGCCCCTGCTGCCCTGTAGAGAAGAGGGTGTTGGGGGGCACCGTCTACTCAGGAGGGTTCCTGCTGCTGTGACATGCACTGTGCTGATTCTAGAACCATCCAGCTCACCCACTGGGAAAAAGAGCGGGCTTTATGCTTGTTTCCTCCCAGTGTTTTCCAGTATTTATTAAAAGGCAGGGATCCTGCCAAATGTTTTAAGGCATGGATAAACATGTAATATATAGTCCTCCTCACTATGAAAGGTTTTATGTCCACGGATCCTTTTCATCATCCTTTAAGGCTCACCAAGACTTGTACCTAAAGTGCATCAGCAGTAGCATCCTTACAGAGCCTCAAAACCTGTAACTCATGTTTACTTCATTTGCCACTCACCTGGGGACACCTCCTGTTTACCACAGTCCTCTAGGTAATAATTCTGAATTAATTCATTCAGATATTATCTCCAATATTTTAAATGTATATGTTACTTTTATAGCATGGCATTTCACAATACAGAAAAATTCAGTGCTGAATGAAAGTCTGGTTACCAAATCTTTGATTAAAAATGATCCCCTTACTCAGCAGCTAGAGAATTCTTCATATTTTATTGTTTTTTTTTTTTTGTTTTTTTTTTTGAGACAGTGTCTCACTATGTAGTTGAGACTGACCTGGAACTCCCTATGAGACCAGCCCAGGCTGGTCCCAAACTCACAGCAATCCTTCTGCCTCAGCCTCCCTAGCGCTGGAATTACAGGCATGCGCCACCATGCCCGGCTCTTCATATTTTAATTAACTTTTTTTTTTTTTTTTTTTTTTTAGACGGGTTCATTATATAGTCAGGCTGTCCTTGCACTCATTATGTAGTCCAAGCTGGCCTTGAATTTATAGCCTGCCTCAGCCTCCCGGGTGCTGGGATTGCAAGCCTGCACCACCACCCCAGGCTACCTTTGATATTGTTGACATAATGCCAAATAAAGTTTCAGGAGATGTAAGGTCACTTTCAGGTCTCCCTTAGGAAGACCCAGACCACGCAAAGTGCTTGGCACACAGTGCCACCACCAACCTCACCTCGGGAAGCAGCAGGGTGCAGCGGCTGGCTTGTAGACACTCTGTGCCCTTGGAGCGCAGTTTGGGGTCTCTCACCTTTCTACTTCTGTTGGTACAGGAAAAAGCACATTTGGGAACCAGAGACTAAATGCCGTAGACTACAAAACTACAACAAAGTCTTTCCCTCTTATGGGGGCAAATAAATGGCCAGAGAGTTTGTGGAGACGGGGGTTCTGGCGGCCATTTTCCCTGCAGTGAGTCCCGCCCAGTTTCATGACGGACTGCAGTGGCTGTAGAGAACACTACAGGGAGTTAAGATGGAATGTCTTCCACGTGTACCTCATTCTTAGGCTAATTCCAATTTTTAAAATGACAATGAAATTAAAACCTTGTTTGCTTGATGTTGTGATTATTACCTGAAGAGAATGAACTAAGCTTACACATTGCCTGATTCTCTATACTGGTAGGAACAGTCGGCTTAGCCCCATATATGGTTACCACATGGCTTTGGAGTAAAGCCACCACATACACACAGGCTTGACCTCACATGTGAACCCTTTATGTCTAGTCGTGGTAAGTAGAAAAAGAAGGAACAGCTAACCCAACCAGATCAGTCCGTTAGTTACCACTGCTTGGTGACATTAATTCTTCACAAAGGAAACAGTCACTAGAGTTCAGAAAGCAACTTCACTGTGCTCTATTCGGAAGTCCAGAAAACATACATTACGCAATGCCATTGTAGCTGCTACTGACAAGAATGCACAACACGATGACTTCCCCTCATTTAAGGATAAGAATGGGGTTTTCCTTCTGGCTGTGGACGTTAGTTTTATAAAGGAGCTTTGAATATAGCTAGTCACACTGGCTCTCAGTTAAGACTGGTTTCTGGTTACTGCAGGAAGAGACACAGGCTGTTCCCTTCCTTTACTCCATATACAGCAAGTAAATCAAAGGCTGCAGAAGGAGCTATTCAGTGTCTGAAGAATCTGTACCACAGGCGAGAACAACAGGCTAATGAAAGGCATTGTGCTGCCAGTACCGATGCAGCTGATGCAGCCATGGAGACCGAGCCGCTGCGGCACGAATGTTCACGCCCTAAATGGGCACGAGAGGGAGCCCTGAGACAAAGCACAGAAAGCTGGGCTGAGCAGATTACTAGTTGGCATGGGAACATGCCAGCTCCTCAGATGCTATGAAGACTGCTGGAGGGTTGATAGTGTTCTTAGCCAATAAAATTCTGGCAGAGAGAGGACTTAACAAATCAGGCAGGACTTGGAACAGCCTGTTGTATTGGAAAAGATAAAAAGGCCTGGGAAATATCCAAGATACTTTGTTTTCAAGTTTCTCAATGCCTTGGGAATAGGAAAACAGGTGAACGGATATGAATTGTAAGGGACATGGTCAAGTACCGCACAATTTAAAACAGGCTTAATTTGAGACTAAAATATAGTAGAGATCCGTACATATGGTCACATGCCATTTTATAGATGGGGAAATGATTGAGAAAAGTTGAAAGACCTCAGTTACAAAGCCAGTGAACAGCAGAATAAAGATCTGTATTCAGCTCTACTACACTGAAACTAGAGTGCTTGACACTTTGCCATGCTACACTGAATTTAATTTCAGTTGAAAGGCAAAGGCTGCTCTCACATCTGACCCTACCACCATGAACAGCGCAGGCCAAAGTAGGAAATGGGCATTACACATAGCAGGCCCACAGGGCAAAGAGAAATGCTAAAATTCCCAAGTAAGACTGGCCCTCAGTGTCTCTTTATGTCAACACATTTAATGGAGCACTCTTGAATAGTAGGGTCTGAGAATACAAATTACTGAAACCCCAGTCCACTTACCCTATGATTATGAAATCTCCTTTGCTGACAGTGTCAGGTTCAATGCAGATGTTCATAAAGTCTTCTTTGCTCTAAAAAAAGTTAAGACCACCATTAATGTCGGTACGATTTGGCTAATACATCTTTTTCTCATCCTCAGCCTTGGAGGTTCATATTTTGAAACTGAATTACATAGGGGATATTACTTTTTTTAATTAAGAACTTTAATATAGTAAATTTAAAAATTCAAGTGTGGGAGGTTTTCTAATTTTGTTACTATACTCACAGGTGTTAAAGTCCCTGGGATTCCTCCCTTTCCCTGCAGGCCAAGCTTCCTGCCCCTCTGGCCCAGCGTTTTCAGTCCTGACTACAGCAGTGTCACACCAGACCACAGTACTAACAGCTTGGTGTGATGAGCCTAGGTGTCTGTGTTCTCTAAAATGCTCTATATGTAAATTTGGTACGCAACCAGTTGAAAAATAGCAATCTATTTGTTCCTTGACATTTTTAGTGTCTATCAATTTCTAATCACAAACTCTGGAAGACCTGAAGTAGCTATGAGAACCCACAATAACAACACAAAACTAGCCTTCACCCATCAATCCTAAAACACTTGTGTGTTGGCTACTTTAGGGGGACAGTCAAGATCTGTAGGCCCAGGATAACAACCAGGCTGCTGAGCGCCTAATACCTTTGCATGAGGCTCAAAGGTACCACCAAAGCACACTCTCAACTAGGAATTACAAAGTGCGCTAACACAGTGTGAGGACTCTGCTCAGAGTTCACCTTTCATTTAGCAACTTAAAAGTGCCAGCCCAGCGTGTACCATAAACTCTTTGGGATACCTGAGTTACATCGACGAACAAAACCAACATGAATTTCTGCCTATAAAGAACTTAACATGAAAGGAATACATAAGCCATAATAAAACAGGAAATTCCCAAGTATCCTAGGAGATGAGCACACCAGAAGTATGCCAGAGCACATTGGAAAGCAAGATCAAAGAAACAGCAAGGATCAGGAGGTGACACCGATGACAGTGGCTACACTTTAAAGATAGAAGGAGGTAAGAAGGGGACCTCTGAGCAGAAACTTGCAGAAGATGAAGCAGCAGTGCTCATATCCAGGGCAGCAGCTCTCAAATACCAAGTATCACTGGAGTGCTGACTAACACTCAGATCCCAGTTTCTGTCAATTAAAAATTAAGGACACACTCAGACTCTGGCCCTATCCTCAAAGTTCGTAGTTCATATCTGAGGTAAAGCCCAAGAATTATTTTGGGTGAATTCCTGGTGATCTGATGCTGATCTTAGGACCACACTTGAAGAACCATTTGTCTAGGAACAAGCCATCTGCACCAAGACAACAGCTGGGAAAGCAGCCTTCGGGGGAACAGGTCAGACAGGGGCAGGGAACAAAAGAAGAAAAAAGGGAGGTTGCAGCAGGAAAACTGGCGAAGTCAACAGAAGGAAGAAAGGCAGAGGGAAGACAGGTTTGACTGGGCACTGTGGACCACTAGAGAAAATGGCTGTTAGAATAAGTGAAGCAAGCCACTGAAGGGTTCCTGTGGAGGGAAAGGCTCTGGTTTCATTTTAATAGGACCACCACCATGCCTGCTGGGCTCAGAATTAAGACAAACATACTGGCAAGTCAGACAGTGAGCCAGCAAAGAACATTAGGGGGAAAAGTGTACAAACAGCTCAGGGTTCAGCAGATGCCAGGAACAATGACACATCTGATGATAGGAGGGTGTGAGAGGGAAGGAGGAGAATGACTGAAAGCTGTGATGGGGAGGAGGACAGCTACTGGGTCACCAGGCCTAACATAGATGAGAGTAAAGGAGGAGGAAAATGGCCACCGTTTAAAAGTGCTGTGAGAAAAGCAGAACCACATCCAAACTAGAAGGGGCAGGCAGATGTCTGGCTCTCTAAGGACCAGAGGGGAATCATTTCAGGCTTGAAGAGCCTGATTTCTCTGCTGGCTACTCTGCCTTGGTGCTGCAAAAGCACCGAAATGAATTAGTGAACCTCTGTTCCAATACAATTTTATTTACACTGAAATCTGAATTTCATGTAATTTTATTAAATTCAAAATCAATTATAAGACAATGATACTATGCCTGGTGTGGTGGCACACACCTGTAGTACCAGCACTCAGGCTGAGGCACTAGGACTGTGGAGAGTTCAAGGCCAGTCTGGGATACATAGTGAGCTCAAGACTGACCTGAACTACATATCGAGACCCTGTCTTAAAAACAAAAACAGACAATGACACCTGTCATCACTACTTCTGTTCAGAGTGTTCAGTTCTGCTGAGGTCCTAGCCAGTATGGTAAGATAAGACACAAGATTGTAAAGGAAGTATGTGAAAGACGAAAACAAATCCAAAGCTTATACAAGGGAGGAAAGTATAAAGATCAAAGTAGAAATCAATGAAATGGAGACTAAGAGAATGATGCAAAAAAATCAATGAATTGAACAATGGGCTTTTTGAAACAAAATTGACAAATCCTCAGCCAACCTTATCAAAAAAAGGAAAGAAAAGGCTCAAATCCATGCAATTAGGAATGAAAAAGGTGAAGTCACAACAGATCCAACAGAAATCCATAGGATCATCAATACCTTCGAGAACCTGTACTCCAATAAAATGGAAAACATAGAAGAAATAGACAGATTTCTAGATACATATGAATTAGCAAAGTTGAAAGAACAGCTACAAAAATTCTAAACACCCCAATTACAATCAGTGAAATTGGTAATACAAATAAAAATTTACCAATAAAGAAAAGCCCTGGTCCTGATGGCTTCAATGCCAAATTCTATAAGACATTTAGAAAACTACTGCCACTACTCTTTAAACTTTTCAATGAAATTGAAAGGAAAGAAATATTCCCAAATTCATTCCTGGAAGCAATTGTTACTTTGATTCCAGAACCAGGAAAAAACCCAACCAAAAAAGAGGTCAATCTCCCTAATGAGCATAGATGCAAAAATCCTCAATAAGATACTGGCAAACAGAATACAGAGGGTCATCAAAAAGATCACATACCCTGACCAAGTCAATTTTACCCCAGTGATGCAAGGATGGCTCAACATATGTAAATCAATAAATGTAATATACTATATTAACACAGTCAAGGACAAAAACCATACGATCATCTCAATAGATGCAGAAAAAGCATTTGACAAAATCCAACACTCACTTATGATAAAAACCCTACAGAAAATTGGAATAGATTATCTTTATCTCAACCTGATAAAGGTGATCTATGAAAAACCAACAGCCAGCATCATACTAAATGGTCAAAAATTGAAAGCCTTCATGCTAAAATCAGGAACAAGACAAGGATGTCCACTATCACCACTCCAGTTCAATACAGTTCTAGAAACATTAGCCACAGCAATTAGACAAGAGAAAGAAATAAAAGTAATAAAGATAGGAAAGGAAGAAGTTAAACTGTCTGACAATGACACTACATAGAAGACCCAAAAACTCTGCCAGAAGACTTCTAGACTTGACAGATTCAGTAGAGTAGCTGGATACAAAGTCAACACTCAAAAATCAACAGCCTTAGGGCTGGGGATTTAGCTCAGTGGTTCTGCCCCTGCCTCACAAGTACAAGGGCCTGAGTTTGATCCCTGGTACCAAAAAAAAAAAAAGAAAAAGAAAGAAAAATCAATAGCCTTTTTGTTAAAAAATAACAGTGAAATTAAGGAAACAATCCCTTTAAAAACAGCATCCAAAAAAAAAAAAAAGAAATATTTAGGAATCAATCTAAAAAAGGAAGCAAAGGACCTCTATGTTGAGAACTGCAACACTTTGAAAAAAAGGAGATCAAAGAGAGCATAAGAAAATGGAAAGACATCCCTGTTTCTGGGTAGGAAGAACCAATATAGTGGAAATGGCCATACTTCCAAAACTGCTATACAGATTCAATGCAATCCCAATTGAAATCCCAACAGTATATTTCACCAAGCGAGAGAAAATAATCCAAAACTTCATTTAGAAGAGACCTAGAATAGCAAAACCGTTCTAGGTAACAGAGACATGGCAGAGGTATTACAAACCCAACTTGAAACTATACTACGCAGCCACTGTGATTAAAAACAGCATGGTACTGGCAAAGAAACAGACCCAAGGATCAGTGGAATAGATTAAAAGATGCCAGGAATTTAGCTCAGTGGTTCTGCCGCCTGCCTCCCAAGCTCAAGGTCCTGAGTTTGATTCACAGTACAAAAAAAACCAAAGAAATCAATATGGAAATACCTCAAACAACTAGGATTAAAAGTCCCATTTGGCCCAGCTATTTCTTTGCTGGGTATCCTCCCAAAAGAATTAAAGAATCATACCACAGAGATTGATATATGCTCAATCCATGTTTATAGCACCACAATTTCTAATAGCTAAAAGTTGGAAACAGCCCAATTGCCCATCAACTGGAGACTGGGTAAAGATGTGTGTGTGTTTTTTTAATAAAATGGAGTACTACTTAGCCATAAAGAATGAGAATCTAGAGCCAGGCGTGGTGGCACACAACTGTAATCCCAGCACTTGGGAGGCTGAGGCAGGAGGATCGCTGTGAGTTTGAGACCAGCCTGGGCTACATAGTGAGTGCCAGGTCAGTCTCAACTACATAGTGAGACCCTGTCTCAAAAAATCAAAAATCAAAACACACAAAAAATGAGAATCTAGAGATATTTATAGCTAAGTGGATGCACACTGAAGCCATACTCAAGTGAAATTAATAAGATACATGTGTAAATACTAAATGGTTTCTCTGGTGTGAAAAACTAAAAGTGTAAATAAGGATCAAAATGTATAATTGATATTGTATAATAGGAAGAAAATGCCCAAAAGTGTAGGGGAACTCGGAGAAGTAGGGGAAATGTACAAATGGAAAAGAAAAAATACGAAAAAAGGAAAAACATGGAAACAATGTCTCTGTAAACAGAGAAGGGTGGAGGGAGTGAAGGAAGGGAAGGGAATGGGGAAAAAAATAAGGACCAAGATAAGATATGTAAAGGTACAAGATCCCAGTGATGCATGTAACAGTATCATACACCTAAAATGTTCCAATAAACTTAATTAAAAAAACAAAAACAATTTTGAGGATACACTTCTAAGTGAAATAAATAAGGCACACATATGCAAATACCGAATAGTATCTCTGGTGTGAAAAACTATAATAGTACTCAAGATCCTAATGGGAAACTTAGCAAATAGGAAGAAAAGGACCAAAGGTGTAGGGACAGTGAGAAGGATAGGGAAGAGGGAATAAGGGAAAGGGAAAAAAATATGAGAAAATGTAAAAATGGAATTAAAGTGTTTGAAGGGGGGCAGGGGAGGGTGAAGGGAGGGTGGGGACAAGGGGAAAAAATGAGAACCAAGACCTGGCATGTAAAGGTACAAGATCCCAGTAATGAATGTAACTGTACTGTCTACCTAGAATGTACCAATAAATTAAGTTAAAAAACAAAAACATGTACTATTTGGCATTGGTATATCAAAATCTCAAGGAAGTCCAAAAGTATCCATAGACCAGAATTAGCTCGCTGAATCAGCATCAACACCAAAAATCAATTACGTGTCCGTCTATTACATCAGATAATTAGAAAATGAAATTTTAAAATATCATTAATATCAAAAGTTAAGATAATGAATATATTCAGCAGAACAATGCTGTAGAGAAAACTATATACTTCATTGGGAGTAACTGAAGAGACACACAGAACCACATTCAGATGCTAGAAGATTCAACAGTGTAGACAGAAATGCCATTTTTCCTCAAAATGATCTGTGGATACAATGTAATCTAGACCAATATTATAGAAGTTTTATTAGGAAATTAATAAACATTCTACAATATTTATAGAAGTCAAAAGAACCAAGAATAGCCAAGGGACTCTTGAACAGAAGAGCATATACAACCGTAATAATTGAGAAGCATAGTACAAGTAGAGAAAAATAGAGACAAGAATATTTATATGTACATAGACAATGTGCGATAGTTGTAGGTGGGAGTATTTCCTTTTTAAACAAAAACACTGATGCAGATAATTTTAACCTACTTTTCAGTTTTACAATATATAATCATATTGCTATATTAATAAATAGGACTGCATTTAAGTGTACTAAAATTTAATCAGTCCAACTATTTTGTAATTTTGCAATCATAAGTACAGAAAACATTTGTACAAAAGATCCTAACTTTCACATATTCCACATTCTCAAAGCTTATTTTATACTCTGAATATACTATCTTTAAAAATAAGTAAATATTTTGAGCTACTACATGCCAGCTAAAATGTCTTTGAATATTTTATTCATTTGCTTTTATATTTACAAAGAAGTATGGAAAAAAGAAAAAAAATGAATGTGCTGCTATGTGATAAGCAGTATGGCATGATGTGCTTTTGTAATTGGTACAAAGATTAAAAAGCAGTCAGCATCCTGAATGTGGCTAATCTCGAGCTGCAATCTTATATTCAAAGAACTCCATCAATGCACTGCTATTCAGTCATCAGAGAAAAGAACAATGGTAAAAGAACACGAAAAAAATGCTGGAAATACATATTACCAAAGACTGAATATAAAGAAAATGTGTAATAGAAATTTTATCTTTTTAAAAATGCCTTTGCAACAGAATCTATTTAACCTCACACACTCATTTTCAACAATATTTTAAGAATTCCATTAGGTAAGACAGTAACTGGACTGCCATGATCATTTCTGTAACACAGATTTCTACTCACAATAGGCCAGGGGGCACGCTTATATATTAGGGACTATATACTACCAGGCTCCACTGAGAAGGGGTGTTACAATTTCCATTCCCAGGAGGAATATATTACCCAGCTCATTTCCCCACCATGCCAACACTGAGTACATCATGCTTTTGAATCTACGACTATTCAATAGTTCCTATTTTAATTTGCATTTCCTTGACACTGAACACTTTTTTCCTTACCTATAAAATGCAGATAAAAGTTATAGCTGATAGTGTAGTTAATGAGCATTATGTAAGTTAATCTATGTGAAATTCTTAGGACAGTGCCCCGTGTATAATAAATACTGAGCAAACAGAAGCTGTTTTTTGAAATCTTAGATCATGAATTTTCTTTTATCCTCTTTACCTGTTTTTAAATATTAGTTCTTTATTTCCTACTGATCTATTCTAGACATTTTGATAAGGGAAGTTACTATCTGTGACATCCTAGTATTTTCCCCAGTTTGTCATCAAAAAATTGGTTGAGGGCCGGGGATTTAGCTCAGTGGTTCTGCTGCCTGCCTTGCAAGCTCAAGGACCTGAATTCGATCCCCAGTTAAAAAAAAAAAAAAAAAAAAGGTTGACAGTATCTTAATATATCAATATGAATTTTGCTTTAGGTGTTATGCTTAGAAAGGTCTTGTTCTTTGCACATTTATATTAATAATCACTTAGATTTTATTCTATTACTAAATTTATTATTTTAATTCAACTTAAAGCATTTTAGAAGGTAAAGGACTTATGCCCAATGTTTTCAACATGTATTACTTTTCTATTTGGAGAACAATCCAGTACCCTGATTATTATTATTGGAGTCACACTTACTACATTCCAATTCCATGTGCAAGTTTTGTAATCGGCTAGGATAACAATAGACTTTCATTTAAATAAAAGCTGAATGTTATAATTAGTGCACAGTTAAAAATGGCTTTTATACTGACATCCTCATTAACATAAATAACTAAGGAATGCCCTGTATCAGGGTCAGTAAAGTATTTTTCTGAAAATGGCCAGATTGTAAATGTTTTAGGCTTTTGGGCTACAGTTTGTCATCACTATAGTGTCAGGATAACCATAAATAAAGACACATGAAAGAACACTGCTATGTTCCAATAAAACTGTATTGATGGACACTAAATAATAAATTTCATGTAGTTTTCAAGTGTCACAAAATTATCATTCTTTCTTTTCACCATTTAATATTAGAAAAATTAATTCTTCATTTGTGGGCTATTTGAAAATAGCTGGCAAACCAGTTTGCCAACCCCTGCTTTATCTCAAGATGTGTGTGTGTGTGTGTGTGTGTGTGTGTGTGTGTGTGTATTTTCTGTAGCAGCACTATCCAACAGAACGTTCTGCATGGATGGAAATGCTTTACATTTGTGCTTTCCAATATGGTAGCTATTAGCCACAAATGGCTGTTAAGTGTTTAAAATGCAACTAGTGCGACTGAGGAACTGAGTTTTAAAATTTATTTTAATTCTCATTAAAGCAAATAGATCTATGAGACTAATAGCTACCATACTCTACTTTGAACCCAAATAAAATAATATGTATAGGTACTAGTTATGTGTGTGTTTCTCCTGGGGAGCTGTGATTATGTTTAAATATAATCACAAAATAATGACTATTTACAAAAGAAAATGTTACACAGTGTTTTTATTCCAATGACAAGTGAGAGTAGCCTACCTTTCATTTCTGAAGGCCTTTTGTCCTAAGCCCTCTGGAGACCAACTAAGAAATGAACAGAACACTTGCTCAGAGTCCCTCAAACTTCTATGCCACAAATACTCAATGCTGCTTCTCCTTGCTGTTCCTTCTAAATGGCACACAACATCCTCTTTCCTGAGCCTTTCCTCTCAGTGCCCACAGAATAAAAGTAGATACTGATTCTGTATAAGAAAAGCATGTGCCTTTGTCATTTTCCCCAATTCCCATGGTTTCCTAATAAGTAAGCACACTTACTGTCAGGTCAAGCTGGCTGTTCCGGGTAGTGATGGACAGCTCGATGGTGGACAGCTGTACGTCTTTCCAGACCTCTGGGCTCACTTCTTGGGAGTGGGCTGTGGGAAGCCGGCAGTCACATGTCAGCTTCTTCCACTTAACTCCATGCCCACCACTGACTGCCAGCAGCTCAGCAAAGCTTCACAAGTTCTTTGCCAACTCTCCATCTTAGCTTTATCTTATTCATCCTTTCTTTTTTTTTTTTTTTTTTTTAATTTTTTTGGTACCGGGGATCAAACTCAGGTCCTTGAGCTTGAGGGGAAGGCAGCTGAACCACTGAGCTAAAAATCCCTGACACTTACTCATCTTTCTTAAATAGACAGGTACAGTTCCAGGCTCAAATGGGATCTCTAGGCCTAAAACTTTGCTACTAAAAGCAGCTACATAAATGTCAGCGACAGAATGATGGTGCACAGAGGCTGCCGTGCCCACTCACAAGACATTGTCTGGACGTGCAGTGGTGGCATCCGGAAGGATGAATTCAACGATCCTAAAAAGACTTCTATCTCAGCTATGCCTTTCAAAACTGATTCAGGGGGCTGCTGCGGCACTCCTAGACTGAGGAGGGCTTTTTGATACACAGTCAGCATGCTGCTCACCGTCCTGCGGCTGTGCCCAGTACGAGGCCAGCCTGCGGAGGATTCTCCTATACAAAGAAGGCCGAGGGGGAGCCTCCTCTGGCTTGCTGGGGGGCCTCTCTGTAGGTCCCGTGTAGGAGATGGAGGCTTGATGAGTCTGAGGCCACTCCTGTTAACGTGGAGAGAGAAAAAAAATTTTTTTGTCATAAACACAATTGCTAAATCTGGGAGCTTCTCTCTGCAAAAGTTAGTATTCTACCTATTCCTTCTAGAAAGCTAATCATCTCTCAGAAAGAATTATCACTAATTCTCAATGCAGAATCCTCCAAGTTCCTTTTCCTCATAGGACTCTCTTGAAAACCATGAACTCAATGGTTTCTTCCTACACTGCTCTAAGATACAGAGCAGAGAGGAGACCACAGTGGACTGATAACCACTGTTCACCCTTATCCAGGACAAGATCAATGTGAACAAGGATGGAGTCATCTGTTTTGAGAGGGTGACACAAAAATGAAGCTGATGGAATCCAGCTGTACCAATACCTTCCTCATTTCTGGAATCTGGGTCCACAGAGAAGCCAGAATGGTTCAGCCAGCCTCACAATCCAAATCCAGCTCAAGACCTCTCACTTTTGCTTCCAAGCCCGTTCTCACAGTAGAATTTTTTGGCATCTCAAGCCCAGTGTCATCCTAGACTGCATCAGTGTTTGAAGGAATAAGTAAAACTACACCCTAACCTCTCAGTCCTCTCATACAACATAGCCACCACTTCCACAGCATATCCTGGCCTCACTGTGATCAAAACTCTTCCTTCTACTGAAGGAAAGATAGACTCTTTAATAAATGGTGTTGGAAAAACTGGATTTTAACCTGCCACAGATTAAAACTAGACTAATATCTCTCACCATGCACTCAACTAAAACCCAAGTAGATCAAAGATCTAAATATTAAAACAGAAACTCTAAACTTGCTGGAAGATAGGTTAGTTAGAACTCTTGAAGACAATGGCATAAGAAAAGACTATGAACAAAACCTCAATAGCATGGGAACTAGCACAATCAATAACTGGGATCTCATTAAAAAGCTTCTGCACTGCAAGAGAAACCACCAACAGAGCTAAGAGACAACTTACAAGGTGAGAAAAATTTTTTTACCAGCTATTCCTCAAAGGATTACCATCTAGAATATATAAAGAACTTGAAAAAAATCAAACCCCCCAAATTTAAGGACCCTATTTATTTATTTTTGGTACTGGGGATCAAACTCAGGTCCCTGCACTTGCAAGGCAGGCTGTAGAGCCACTGAGCTAAATCCCCAGCCCTAAAGACCCAATTTAAAAATAGGCATCTGAAATGAACAGACATTTCTCAGACAACCAAGTAAAAGCAGCATATAAACATATGAAAAAATGTTCAACATCACTGGTCACTGGAGAGATGCAGATGAAAACAGCACTGAGATTCCACATCACCCCAGAAAGAATGGCTGCTATCAAGAAATCAACCAATAACAAATGCTGGGCTATGGGGGAAAAAAAAAACCCTTCTCTCCATTATTGGTGGGAGTGCAGATTGGTGCAAGCACTGTGGAGATACCACAAGAGACAGGACGGGAGGTCCCATTTGACCCAGCTATTCCCCTGCTGATTATTTTCCCCAAAAAACTAAAAGAATCATAGCACGGTGATATATGCACACCCATGTTTATAATGGCACAGTTTGTCATAGCTAAAATTTGGAATCAGCCCAAATGCCCATCAACTGGAGAATGGATAAAGATTTGTTTTGTTGTTTTGTTTTTTTAAAAAATGGAGTACTCACCCACAAAGAATGAGAAACTAGAGTAATTTATAGCTAAATGGATGCCCACTGAGGCCATACTCTTAAATGAAATAAATAGGAAGCACATGTAAATACTGAATAGTTTCTCTGGTATGAGAAAATGAAAGTGTAAATAAGAAACAAAATGTGTACTAGATGCGAAACAGTAAGAAAAGGTCTAAAAGGGAAGACGGAGTGGGAGGAGTAGGGGAAAAAGGAAAGAAGGGAAAGGAAAAAAATGTAAGAAAGGAAAAAATGGAAACAAAGTCTTTGTAAATAGGGAAGGGTGAAGGGAGGGCAGGGAAATGGTGAAAAACTAACTACAAGATATATCATATAAAGGTACAAGATCCCAATGATGAATGTCGTCATACTGTATACCTAAAATATGCCAATAAACTTAATGGAAAAAAACAGTTAGAGATTTAAATAAATAAAGAATGCTTCCTCCTAAAACCCTAACATCCTACTCTCTAATTTCATCCCATGTTCTTTTGCTTTGTACAGCCCTGTACATCAGTTAGCTTGAACTATGCACCTCTTGCTACGCTTCCACAGGGTGAATTCAAAAATAGCCACAATTCTGGCTTCTCTTCCTCTACTGCTGACCCCTTCCCAGGCCAGGGGGACCAATGCATGGGTCCAGCCCCTTCCACACTCCTGGCCCAACAGCAGCTGCCTTCAACATCCATTTGCCTCATCTTCACAGTTACCTTACAATAATGGTCTCTGCCCTGACTGGGGTATTTTTAGTATTAGGAAATCAGACTGCAATCACATATCTAGATGGTGTCCTTCACTCCTGCTGACATTTAAAAAGCTGACATTTTCATCTCCATCTGTTTGAGTCATGCGCATCTTCATAACTTGATTCAAATTCAGAAGAGGAAGAGAGGTGTTATTTTTTGGTCCCTAAAGCTCCTAGCTATGCACAGTTCTCAATCACACTGAGAATTCTTGGTAATGATAGGGAAAACTTTAATAGCAAAAACCTAGGAAATGTCACAACTAAATGTCCCTTCACTCCATTTAGTTCAGAATTAATGGAGGCATCTAGTCTCCCTCAAAAGTTTTGTAAATGAAAAGAACCATTGTTAGCTTTGCTGACCAAACACCACTCCATTCCCCTTGGCTAGAATAGATAACTAAATTAATCTGAAAGGTAACCTCCCCTAACAAAGAAGTGCTGCTTCTGGGTTGAAATTCAACTGCCTGGCCACCATGTTTTGAATATCAGCAAGGTGAACTGTGGAAATGCAGCACAACCACCTGAATGAGATCAAGACTGTAAAACCCTATAAAAGGGGAAATTGTACCCAAGTACTCGATCAGGGCACCGCCATTAGGTGTCATTGATCCCCATCAATGGAGTAAAATTTGTTATTTTACTTCCATTTTGCTAACTCTCTGTATATCACTTGCCAATTCCTTTCTTAACACTAACACTCCATTTTTGCCCAATTAATACTTAACATCACTGTGTGGTTCATTTAAGTCTTTCTTTATTCTTCCATAACATGCATTCTTCAGAACTCCAAATCTGGAGCCAGGCATGGCGCCACACACCTACAATCCCAGAAATCTGGAAGGATGATGCAGGAGTATCACAAGCTTAAGCTCAGCTCAGGCCATTTAGCATCAGTGAGATCCTGTCTCAGAACAAAAAAAATTAAAAATTACCAAAAAAAGGACAGGTCTGAGAATGTACGTCAGCTTGAAAGCCCTTAGTTTAACTGTCCTTATCCAAAAAAAAAAAAAAAAAAAAAAAAAAAAAGTCTCAATTCTGGATCAATCTTGTTGCTCAGTTTCTGTACTCCTATATCTGGGCTCAGCATTGCTAAAGGGAAAAAAAAAAATCCTGCTGAGTTTTAATACAGAAAAATACACACAGAGATTCTTGGTCTCAGGTCCTTGATGCCACTTGATAATCCCGTCTCCTCACTGTCACCTTAGAATCACCTATGCCACCACCACTTACACCCACCATGCTTTCAGCAGAAGGCCTGTTTCACTGAGAATATCAGGTACATCAGAGAGAGCATCCTCAACTCTCCATAACCTTCTTTTCATCTGGACCTACCCTTTACCTCTGTCCTATCCCATGGAAAAAGGCACCACTTTCCCCTGCGGAGGATAATCCAATACTTTGGTGTTGGGCGCTGGCCTCTGAACTGGCAGGAGTGCTGCCATCCTGAACTAAGTGGAACCATTTTAGAGATAAGTTTCCTTTCTGAAGTTAAGTTTCTATGTCCTAGATTGTAGTCCTTTGTTCTAGTATATCACCCATTAAGGTTGCCTTAATAATTATAGCCCATAATAATTTGTGGTTAAGCCTATTTCTTCTTATGTTATGCTAAGACATTTTGTGCTGCTCTGAAGTTTCCCAAACTTAACAACCTTCGAGTTTAATGAGTCACCTGGTATTTGTCTTATGACTTCCTGACTCTACAGAGTTTCCTAAAGTTTATTTTAGGTCAGATAAGGTTGTCATGATAATATCATGCTACCACCTCTTAGGTTTGTGGTTTTTGCTTCAAAAGTCTGATGCTTGCCTGCAATAAAGTCGCCTTGATCAGACTCCTGTCTTGGCGTCCTTCTTTCTCTCCTTGCCCCATCTCCACCCAATGCTCTTTCAGGTTTGAGACACTGCTGGACAGTACTCTGCATCGCCTGCTCACAACACTCTGGATTCCACCCCACTTTCTAGTCACAGATTTTTGCCAACTCACTCATGAATTGTGTGTATCCTTTCTCTTCACTGCTTGTCTTTTCTTTTGCTTGAGGATATAAAATAATAGATATTCCTCCAATTTAAAAAAAAAGATACTCTCTTCAGCTTTGGCCTTTTCTTTTTTTTTTTTTTAATTTTTTTTTCAGCTTTAATTGAGTTTATTGGTACATTTTAGGGATACAGTACAGTTACATTCATTGTTGGGATCTTGTACCTCTACATGACAGGTCTTGATTCTCATTTTTTCCCCTTACCCCTGCCCTTACTTCACCCCCTCCTCCCCTCCCCATCTACAAACACTTCATTTTCATCTTTTCATTATCTCACATAGCTTTGGCCTTTTCTATCTCCTCTTCAAAGTCAAGTTCCTGGAAGTGGATGACCCCTGTGATCATCACTTCTTTATTTCCCATTTATTCCATAACTTTCTCCAGGATGGCCACAGCACAAGCACCACCACCACCACCTTGGAGGTCACTTAAACCTTGGGCAGCTGCCAAATTCAGTGCATGCTGCCCCATCATTGTTTCTACTCTTGGCTATTGCTTCTTGGAATTTTTCTTCTATCGGTTCTGTCCAGCATTTCAACACTATTCACACACTTACAAGATCTAAATCTCTCTTCAGTCTGCTGGAATTCCAGATTAAAGTGACAACTGTATCTCTACTTATGTGCACCACAGGTATTAAACTCATCATGTACCAAAGTGAAAAGTCTCCACAAACTTAACTTGATTCTAGTATTAAAAACATTACTGGAGGGACGGGGATTTGGCTCAGTGATTCTGCCACCTGCCTCACAAGCCCAAAGACCAGAGCTGGATCGCCCGTACCAAAAAACAAAAAACAAAAATATTAATGGAAAACTAAGCTATCAAATTCTAATCCTTCAAACCAGAAATCTTCCAACCTCCAAGGCAGTAATCTCAATAGCTCTTTGATCCATTTCCCATTGTCAATACTATTAATGCCTTTGTCTATACCTTATCACTTAGCTCCACCCTTGCTACTAGATCAACAATTCTCTAGCTGTTGTCCTTTCTTTGGTTTTTTGAGACAGGGTCTCACTATGTAGGTGAGACTGACCTGGAACTCACTATGTAGTCCAGGCTGGTCTCAAACTCACAGTGATCCTCCTGCCTCAGCCTCCCAAGTGCTGGGATTACAGGCGTGTGCCACCATGCCTGGCTCTGTTGTCCACAATGCTGTCATATGATTTTTCTAAAATGTATATCTGCTCGTGTCATGTTTCTGCTTAAGACTCAAAAACCCCACTCCATAAGGATTAAAGTCGGACGGTACATCACAGTGTGCCCTAACCCAAACTTCTAGTGTCATTTCCTGCTAACTATAACTAATGACCATGGTCATTACTGTGGTTTCTCAAGATCTATCTTTCAACCTGAAATGCCTTTTCTCTAGTCCACTACGTCTCCAAATTTAGATTAAGTGTCACCTTCCCCTGGAAGACTTTTGGACCCTTAGATGGATTTAGATGGCCCTGCTCTCTGCTCCCATCTTGTCTTTCCACATTTCTCTCTCAGCACTTGCCAAACAGCTGATTCACGTATACTTCTCACCAGCACATGCATGCGTCTTGAAGACAAAACCTGTAACTTGGCTTTGTATCCCAGACATTGACCAGTAATTGCTTGCTGAATAAATTATAGAAAACAGTTTATTGTCTGGTACTCCACCATTTAAATATATACTCTTTTTTATTAAATGTATTCACTACTTCCCCAATAAAATTTTTCCCTTGAATAGTAAGACATTTTACTAATCCAATTTGCCTCCAGTCTAGATAATTTTTGCTTTTTTGAAGTTCATTTTTAAAATCATGTAGATTGAATTCTAGTACTTTGGGGATTTTAATTTGTTACATTTAATTTGTCAATCCAACTGGATTTTAATCTTTTACATTTTCTTTTTAATCCAGCTGGTTATGGGAGATGAGTTTTTCAACTATTTTACAATGGACATGTATTACCTTTATACTTACAGGGACACTTGATAACTCTGAATAGTAACATTGGAACCAAGTTTCTCACTACCAATTTTCAGATTAGCCAAATTGTGATTATACTGCTTTGATTGGCACAACAGCTGAATATAGTATACAGTCCACAGTTAATGATGACTTTTCTATTAGCATTTTCATTAATACAAATTGCTAAGCTTGACTCCACTCCCAATTTCAGGGCTGGGGATCAAATATAGGGCTTTATATATGCTAGTCAAGTATTCTACTACTGAGATATACCCTCAGCTCCTAATTTTTTGTTGTTGTTATCTCTAGGGATTGAAACCAGGGTCATTCTACAACTGAGCTACATCCCCCACCCTGTCAGTTTTTATTTTGAGATAAGAGTTTGCTAAGTTGCCCAGGCCTGGCCTTAAACTTATAATCGTCCTGCCTCTGTGTAGCTGGGATTACAAGTATGTGCCACCTCACCAGGGACTCTAACATTAATTTTTTAACATATAGTTTATAGCAGTACTGTTCAAAAGAACTTTTCAGATGATGGAAATATTTTTTATCTAGACTGTCCAACATAGTAACCACAACCCCCATTTGCTAGTATAGTCTAAAACCTACTAATACTTGTCCACAAGCCTGTACAGATATATTCCAATACAAATCTTCAATTTATTGCCACGTATTAATAGCACACACAAATAAGATATGTATCATTCTGTTCAAGGTTTGTTTAGCATGGATGAGTGAATGAATAGAAAGGAGGGCTGAAATAACAAAGAGAAATTAAACATGGCTTTAGTTGAAGGAACAAGCAGATGAGAGGTGATCGGATATCAAAACAAAAATATTTTCTGAAATTGTACACAATGAAATGCAGTCCATTTCAGTGCTGCAGCAAGTTCCATGCATCTACAGTGAGGAATTTTAAAAAATCACAAATATATCACAGAGAAATGACTAACAAAGGACATGTTCTGCATTATGAATTGCATTTACCTGAAGAGTGCTGAAAAAGTGGGCTGCTTTGGTTTTGAGAGGCCCAAGATACCAGTACCTGAGAAAGACCAAGATTAAAATCTGATTAAAATATCAAAAGCACTATCAGTGTGATAGATGCTGCTCATGACAGACAATATATTACAAAGAGCCACAACTGCATCATGACTGCTATACTGGAGGCTTGGGGATTATAGCTTAACAAATGACTATTACAGCATTATGGCATATTTTTAATCTGCATTTCAAGGTCATATCCAACACTACAGAATTAAAAAGTAGAAATATTCTTGTAGTTCACATGAGATGTAGAGCCAGAGTCTCCTTGAGTCCCTAAATTCATAAGTATATAACACAGACTTTCAAACACTGAATAGTTTGTGTACAAAGAGCCACAAGGAAAGGACAATGAGGCCATGCTGAGAGGATGCAGATGTTATGCAGTTTGATGTTACAAGCTATACAACTGAATCCCTTACCCCATATCCTTTCACACACAAAGGCACACAGAATTAACATGTGTTAACCGCCACACTCTCACATTTCAAAGGGCAAGCATTAAATCTGAGAATGAGGAGGATCAACTGTGTATTATTAAACACATAACAACCACTGGAGAGAGGAAGAGAATAGAATTCTGTCTTAAAAATTATCTGTTACTAATCACTCCATCTTAACTATTCCCTGTTGATTCTGATTTATACATATTTAGCTCCTATCATTTATATGGAAGAAGATAGAGCATAAAATTTCAGCTTTTGTGAGCTTATGATTTGGGAAAAGTTCTCTGAAGTAACAGAAAATAATAAATGACTATGTCATGATAGAAACCGATCATTATTTATTGGTAAGGGGAAAAAATAAGGGACAAAATATCATTAATGGCCTAAAACCACGGCAGCAGCCAGAATAAGGGTATGGAACTCAAAAAGGAGCTGGACATGGGTTGGATTTAGATAAAAGAGGGAAGGAAATCATTCCAGGCAAGAAGAGGAGCAAAGATATGGGAAACAGTGAGAATAATAGGAAAAGCTTAAAAATAAAGTTACATGGTTAATTAGGGATGGTGAGATAGTTAAGTTGCGCCTGGAATACCAAAATAAAAAGCTTCAATAAAATCCAACAGGCAATGTGGAACCATTCTAAATTATTATTCAGATCAATATTGTGATGCTACCAATAGGGGCCATGGTCAACTGGTGGAGAGAAAGTGTGTGTGTGTGTGTGTTTAAGCTTACTTTATAGTTTGGTTTTCTTTTAGTTAGCCAAGTAGAAAAACATCCTGACTCAGGCAGTTCATTTCTAAATTGTCAGCACTTCCCTTCACCTCTGCCAAACCTTGACACCATGCTTATAGCCCCTTATGGCCAGCTAGAGAATGGTTTCTTGCATCCTTATGTTTTTCCTTTCACAGTAAAAAGCAACTTGGTGGCCTTAACTCACTAGCCAAAGTTTATAGAACCACCACAAGATTTTGAAATTCATGTTCCGAAACCAATCAAAATATGGGGCAAGTATTTGAGATATTCCTGTGGAAATTTTGGAAAGCAACTTGTTCTTTTTGTTTCAGGGAAAGCTAAGCAACTCCTCTTGGTGAGCTGCTGAAATATGAGATTATACATGAAATACAAGGTAATTTTTTGGATTCAACATAATCATGGGCAAACTTGCAAATGAAAGGATGTGAAATACTGGAGACTGTAGTGTGTTATATAATATAGTACTATTTCTCTTTTAACATTCCACTGTCAGGAATTTCATTAGCAGGAATAATAAAGTAAAATTTTGAGAAATTTCTAGAAAGCAAGTGTAGCAAGCTAATCTAAGAAGTATAAGAGGGGATTCTTGATGAGAGAGCTGTGAGTGAGAGCAATCATAATTCAGATAAACTCTATTAAAGTAAACTGTAAGCTGCAGGCTTTAGGAAAAGCAAAGAAAAACCGCCACCCACCAGGAATGAAGTGAAGCTCACTCAGCATCTCCTTCAGCTCTAAGTCAGGAAGCTCTTGCCTACGCTACCTCTCCACATCAAATGGAGCCCGACACACCCTCTTCCCAAGCCAAGAGTTTCATTTCATACAATAGATTCTCCAAAAATAAGTCTATTGCCATGCAAGCTAGCAATGGCCCTCTAATCAGCTCCTTTATAGGCCTGTTCTTCCATCTCACAGCACAGCCAGGCATCCACCTTTCTGCTTTCTCAGTAAGAGGCAGCCTGTGGTCACTCAATCTACGAGGACTTCAAAAAACAACTCAGTAAAGTCTTCCAACTGGGACAAAAAGAACCTTGCAAGGCTGAGGACCAGGCAGTGCCTTCTGCCTAAGATGCTGCTGGATGACAGGCAGCCCAGATCCCTTCAGGCTTGCATAGCCTAAGCTATACTCAGATATTATGTCTAAAAATAGACAAGCACCTTTCTCTAGCTACCACCACACTGGAGCAAGGAAAATGGAACTTTCCCCAATCTTTCTACATATGGGAGAGAAACTTTAACCTGATTCTCCCTATATCATTACTCATCCCCAATTCAATTTCCAGGCCACCTAAATTTATATTTGGATATTAAAATCTCAAAGGCAGGGGAAGAATAAGATTTTTTAAAAATCATTGCACATTGATATAAGAATCCTTTACTTGCTAACTTTGATGCCAGCATCTCTGAAGGATCCCCATCGAAGGCCAGTCATCGCAAACACGGGCTGCTCCTTTTCACCCTGGAAGAACAGTCAATTTGGATTCATGAGTAAGATAACTCAGGACTCTTTACATGTAAGTACCCATAAGTGTCTATGGCCTACTTTTCATGGAACCAAAATTCTAAAAAGTATATTCACACATTAAAGAAATTAATCTGTACATGCTCAGCAAAAGTACCTGAATAAGCCATACTGTAAACTTAAAGTATATATCAGGTCTCGTGACTCTACTGGCAAGGGAAACAAAGCATACATTAGACTGTAAATTAAGAACTAGGCTGTCCCTTGGGCAATCAGCAGCCAGGTTGGCCAGTAGTCCTTCTGGGACTCTAAAATATACCACCTGTTTGAAAACACAAATATGTTACAACAAATCAGAGTAAACAGCGATTTGGATTTGGCCCAATATTTTATGGCCAAATATTGCATATTAAAATGAGTGGTTGGCCAGGGATTTAGCTCAGCGGTGCCTCACAAGTGCAAGGTCCCCAGTACCAAAGTACTGAGTTCAATCCCCAGTACAAAAAAAAAAGTGGGTTTCAAAATTAAGAAACATTAAAAAATTATACAAGTCAATACCCCTAAGAGCTTATTGAACCTTCCTTGAAGTACAAATACACACACACACACACACACACACACACACACCCCAAGATTCTGGATGAGATATTTTTCTGTAGCTCAGAATAACAACTAAAACCCAAGAGATGAAAACTGTTGACTACTACTACTTTCTAAAGAGAGCTGCCACCCAGCATGGTGCTACATGCCTGTAATCCCAGAACACTGGGAGGCTGAGGCAGAAACACAGAAAATTTGAGCCCATCCTGGGGCAACTTAGTAACTTAGTGGGATCTTGTCTCAAAGTACAAAGTAAAAAAGAGATCAATTACATTACCACCACCAACACCACCATCACATTGCAAAAAACAAAGAAGGGAAGGAGGGAGGAAGGGAAAGAAACTGAAATGGCTTCCCCTCAGCATCATCCCACCAGGACCAGTATAAGCAAAAATGGGAGCAGGGGGAAAATCCTTGAAACTGGAGGTTGCTGGCCCAGAGAAAGGAGGAAGGAAGCCTCCCAAACCTTTCACTCCCCTTCCTCCAGCACCAAAACCAAACAAGGAATTCCTGAGAGGATCACACACAAATACTGGAAGACCACAGGAGAGATGCTGAAGCTGATGCCCTCTGTTGTGCCCCAGCTCACAGCTAATGCACCAGATCTGTTTTCTGTTCTCTTCTGCTTCAGCAAGTGAAGAGAGAAGGGAGAGATGGCAGAGCAAAGCAGTAATGCTGAGACAACTCGCTGGACGACGTAGCAAGGACACATTACTCTCCTGGGGCCCAAATGGATGCTGTGGAAGACAGCAGGGCTTTGAATCACCTTGACACAGCCCATCTAAGAATCTGGCCCAGGGGAACAGCTCCCCAGGAGGGTTGCAGGCCTGGAGGCTGGGGGAAGGAGTTGAAGGAGGTGAGGCTAGGACAGATCTCCAGCATCAGAAAAACTCACACACAAACCCATAAGAGAGCCAGCACTGGGGCATCAGCAGCCAAGAGGGAGCTATAACAGTTCTTCTCAAGAAAAAGATCATTCTCTAATCCTGCTTCTATGTATCAATAGTGAAAAAGCTAGAAACAGGGGAGAATGGAAGAAGATACAGGTGTGGTACCTCAGTTCACAAATGCTTTTGTTTGCAAACAATTTGGTTTGCACACAGAAGTGTTTGAAAGCAAATTCTGTTTTATTTGCAAACTCTGCATAGAGGCTGAGCCCATCTTTCCCACACAAATACAAACATGGTCATCTTTTCCAAAATCAATAGCGGGGCTGGGGATTTAGCTCAGTGGTTTCACCACCTACCTCACAAGTGTTAAGATCCCAAATTCAATTCCCAGCGCGCGCACACACACACACACACACACAAAATCATGGCACAAATTAAATTCATGAACCGAGGTATCATAGATATTAACTGGGGTACCAAAGATATTAAGGGGAGGTGACTGCTGAAAGAGGAAGGTAAGATCCTATTGATCCAGTGACATTTAAACAGAAGAATGACTTGAGTCTTGATTTCCGTGAGCAATCTAAATAAGGACAAAGAAATAAAAGGAACCAGGCTATATTTGCCTAGAAAACTCCTGCATGAGTTTTGGCTTCTTTTCAGTGAGGTGAAGCTACTGACGGAAGAGCTTTGCACAGAGAAGCAACATGCCCCAACGTGCACCTCCAGCTGTTGGATACAGACCATGGGGAGGCAGGGGAAAGACTGGAGTTAGAGGATCCTACAGCAGTCCAGGCACAAGATGGAGGAGACCCAGACCCAGACCAGGGCAGGAACAAGAGAAGTATGAAGATGGCCTGGATTCAGCATAAATTTTGTAGATGGAACCCACAGGTTTCTTGCCTACATGACCTTGGAGAGTCAAGGATGACTCCAACATTTTCAGATACAATGAGTGATGGTTTTATCAAAGTAAAAGTGATCATTTAAAGACCACATTATTCCTTAGAAATGTTATATGCTGGTCACTAACGATTTACAAAACAGTACAGTAACACAGAACAATTGTTTAGAAGTGAAGAGATCATAGACAAGTAATTTACATTCTGCACATTGGCTTAAGATTCAGACCTCCCCAAGTGATTTCGAGTGTCTTAAGTAATCACTGTTGTATCCTCGCCTTTTAACACAGTGAGTGGCAACATGCAATAAATAAAATTTATAACATAAATAAAATTAAAATAAATGAAATTACTATTTTAGCCACAAAATTAGGTGATAGAATAACCTTGTAAAAAATTTATGAGTCAAAACTATTTTGTCACTAAAATTCCACAGAATCCATCTCTCAAGGCTCTAAAAGACAGATACACATTTATTCATTCGATCAATCAATGTGTCCTGAACTACTCTGCACCAAGCACTACGCCAGGTACTGAGGAACACATGCAGAACAAGACACTTCCTGTGCCTCCAAATGTCCACATTCTTTGCTCAGTCCTTACGCTTACAAACAAAATCTCCCTCTGTAGACTTTCCATGACTTTACCCACTGTTTGTCAATGTTCCTCCTAATTCTTCTAGTAAGAACTAAATAAACCACTGAATCTAAAGGTTGTCTGAAGTCCTACTTTACATTTACCTTAACTATTAATGAGGTTTAACCATGTGGAAAGTTTTCACACACCAGGCTTCTCATTTATATTAAACTAATCACCCATTCATTTTTCCCAAGGAATAACATTAACAAATATGTATTACATATCAGGAACTGGAAATAAAAATATTTTCAAGGAGCTCAAAGTATGGGAGGTGTTAGACACAGGCAATACGAATCTCAGCCAGCCACAAAGAGTAATTGGTAAGCGAAGGGAGGGCAGGGATAAGGGGAAAAATGAGAACCAATACTTGTCATGTAAAGGTACAAGATACCAATAATGAATGTAACTGTACTGTATACCTAAAATGTACCAATAAACTAAAAAAAATTTTTTTTAAAGAGTAATTGGTAAACACAAGCAGGTGCAATGGTATAATGTGTGGGGGAGCAAAGGAGGACGGTCATGGAAAACACAAGCTAAATTCTAAAACATAAGCTTATGTTATTATTTTTAAGTGACAAATAAATCAAGCTAATTATCTCCTCACTAATCCTTTCTGTGGTAAAACATTTGAAGTTCAGTCTTTCAGGTTGAAACATATAGTATTATTGATCTCAGTCACTTTGCTCTGCCATTTGATCTCAAAGCTTATTCTTCCAAACTGCAACCTTGTATCTTTTAACCAACACTTAAAACAGAAAGGACCTAGTTGAGCCTGATGGCACAGGCCTATAATACCAGCACTGAGGAAGGCTGAGGCATGAGGATTCAAATTCAAGTTCAGCCTGAGTAACTACATGACTGAATGAGACCCTGTCTCAAAATAAAAAATAGAAAGGGTTGGGGCTATAGCGAAATGTAAAGGCCTTGGGTTCAATTCCCAATAATGCTAAAACAGAAAGCCAGCCAGTCGGACAGACAGACAGACAGAAAGAATAAAGGACCTGGCTTGGGAGAGGGTGGGACAAAAGTGGAGAAGAGAGAGACGCAGCACAGAGCTTGCTGCAACTTCACCAGCATTTCCCCACATTGTCTAAGATGCTAACAAGTGTCACCTCACATGGTAATGACAACCTACGGCAATTAAAACAAATTGGGGTGAGATAGGCTTGGAGATAGCTAAGTTATTTGGTCCACGAAAAGTTCTGTTTCACTACAGTTCTTATTAGTATATCAATGTACATGAACAAATTTCCAAAAGGAAAAATACAGTACATAGTTTTCTTGAGTTGTTAACTTTAATCCCTTCTCTAGGAGGACTTTCCTATGTCATAAAATACCAAGGGATTACTAAACTAAAAGCCCAGCACGTTCTGTAGACAGGAAGTGCTGAGGAAAGTACATGCTCAAGACTTGCAGACTGGTGCCCTTATACATCTCTTGTTTCATCTGGGGGCAAGAATCTCAGGAAAACTCTGTTAGTATCAAAGGAAAGGCTTGTAAGCTCAAGGTTCACTGATGTAGTCTACTATGGCCTAGAAAGGAGTGGGGATGGCTCTGGGCAGCAGGGGGATGAGCAAACAGGGCTGATGTGCATGAACATCTAGAAAACCTGGTCAAGAGCCAGATGGGCACAACCCTGTCAGGACTCAGAGGGAGCTGGTCATGGAGACCAGTCCCTGCGGAGGAACCCTGAGTGTGGTGAAAACAGATGGGGTTGCATGGACAAAGAAGCCGCCGACAGACAGAACTACTGCATCTTAGCCTTTTGGAGGTCGGGACGAGCAGATTATGAGGCAGATAGGCCAAACAACAACACAAAAGAAAGACAGGCACACAACCAGACCATCACAGAAAGGGAAGAGCTGTCCAGTTCATAGTTCTTCCCGCTGGAAAGAGAAAACCCCCAAGAAAGCAGCCTGGCACTTTGTGGCAAAAAATAACTGGGAGAAGCGCTTGGAAGACA